TACATATTCTCATTTGCGATCAATTAAATTGAAGGTCATGACCTTGCGAAGCTTCCATTTTTGACATGACGTCACACTTTGATGTCACAATGCAGTTGCGTCATAATGTAAAATAACAACTTTAGCCCCTGAATCCTTATCATATGTATAAATTCTATGGAACATGTATCTAATAGGCATTATGCCTTACACAGTGTCAACTTGAGATTATATTGTATGGTTAACTACATAAATTAAAACAAATAAAGCAATTTTCTATGAACTTACATGCAAATAAATGTGGGAAATGTCATCAAATGCTACTCCTTAAGGGTGCAAAACACAGTTTTATGTATGACGTTATCAGGACGTTACTTGGTGAGGGACAAGCAAAACTGACCCCTATAAAAAAATAAAATGGAGGCTTGTTACATAGACTTCTGCATATCAATGGAAAGATAAAATTGTGAATTTTGTAAATATCCAACTATAATACATTCATCAATTACTACTAGGGGGTATTTGACACCTGAAATATGGGGGATATTGGGTTGTTTATGCATCCATTTTCAGTGCACCTATGCATTTTTAACCCCCCTGCTCAACAAAAACAGAAAAAATCAGACAAAATAAGTTGTATGCATTTCACAGAACAAGTCCTAAGGTTTTCTTTTAGTGTGCTTTCAGGGTACATTTTCCACCTCATGAAAGAGCTACATTACCTGCTAATTGACTCATGCAATTCTGCACATGTGAAAACCGGATGTTTTGGGAGTTATCTCCCCTTATTAAAAAGTCTCATAATTTTTTTTTTCTAAAAATGAATGCACATTTTTTTCTTTAAATATTAAGATAAGATTCTACTTTATGTGAATAAAAACAAAAATGATGCAGTTTTCATCTAGACTCCTATAAATAGCAGGAAAATCCCTACCCAGCATGCTTCTCTCTGGGAAAAACCCCCTGGATTTTATACGAAACTGTGTTTAGCTACCTTAAAGGAAATAATTTTTTTTTGCAATTCACTTTTTTGTATTTAGGTGCAAAGAGGACAGAATTCCAAACATTTTGGTGCATAAATTGTTGAATTTGGTCCAGAAATGGGCAAGTAATTGTAAATTTAGTATTACATGTCTACGACATCGGTCGACGCATAAAACAGGACTTCGAAGAGAAATTCAAACCTAACCGAATCAGCTCACACAATAATTTTATTTTTCTTCAATTTAAAAAACACAAAGTATGAAATATACAGTATTTGAATATCAATAAAATGTTACATTATAAATTTTTTGAAAAGCTGCCAAACAATTTTTACAGATATTGCTAGTTTCTGTATAAACAAGGGGGGGGGGGGGGGGGGGGCTAATTGGAAATAGTCACTGTCTTAAATCAGAAGATTGCCTCAAAAATCTGGATGGTGTCACCCTAACTAGATACTCAATAGTTCTATGTCACATGTATATCTATACAGAAGATACATATTCTCATTTGCGATCAATTAAATTGAAGGTCATGACCTTGCGAAGCTTCCATTTTTGACATGACGTCACACTTTGATGTCACAATGCAGTTGCGTCATAATGTAAAATAACAACTTTAGCCCCTGAATCCTTATCATATGTATAAATTCTATGGAACATGTATCTAATAGGCATTATGCCTTACACAGTGTCAACTTGAGATTATATTGTATGGTTAACTACATAAATTAAAACAAATAAAGCAATTTTCTATGAACTTACATGCAAATAAATGTGGGAAATGTCATCAAATGCTACTCCTTAAGGGTGCAAAACACAGTTTTATGTATGACGTTATCAGGACGTTACTTGGTGAGGGACAAGCAAAACTGACCCCTATAAAAAAATAAAATGGAGGCTTGTTACATAGACTTCTGCATATCAATGGAAAGATAAAATTGTGAATTTTGTAAATATCCAACTATAATACATTCATCAATTACTACTAGGGGGTATTTGACACCTGAAATATGGGGGATATTGGGTTGTTTATGCATCCATTTTCAGTGCACCTATGCATTTTTAACCCCCCTGCTCAACAAAAACAGAAAAAATCAGACAAAATAAGTTGTATGCATTTCACAGAACAAGTCCTAAGGTTTTCTTTTAGTGTGCTTTCAGGGTACATTTTCCACCTCATGAAAGAGCTACATTACCTGCTAATTGACTCATGCAATTCTGCACATGTGAAAACCGGATGTTTTGGGAGTTATCTCCCCTTATTAAAAAGTCTCATAATTTTTTTTTTCTAAAAATGAATGCACATTTTTTTCTTTAAATATTAAGATAAGATTCTACTTTATGTGAATAAAAACAAAAATGATGCAGTTTTCATCTAGACTCCTATAAATAGCAGGAAAATCCCTACCCAGCATGCTTCTCTCTGGGAAAAACCCCCTGGATTTTATACGAAACTGTGTTTAGCTACCTTAAAGGAAATAATTTTTTTTTGCAATTCACTTTTTTGTATTTAGGTGCAAAGAGGACAGAATTCCAAACATTTTGGTGCATAAATTGTTGAATTTGGTCCAGAAATGGGCAAGTAATTGTAAATTTAGTATTACATGTCTACGACATCGGTCGACGCATAAAACAGGACTTCGAAGAGAAATTCAAACCTAACCGAATCAGCTCACACAATAATTTTATTTTTCTTCAATTTAAAAAACACAAAGTATGAAATATACAGTATTTGAATATCAATAAAATGTTACATTATAATTTTTTGAAAAGCTGCCAAACAATTTTTACAGATATTGCTAGTTTCTGTATAAACAAGGGGGGGGGGGGGGGGTCTAATTGGAAATAGTCACTGTCTTAAATCAGAAGATTGCCTCAAAAATCTGGATGGTGTCACCCTAACTAGATACTCAATAGTTCTATGTCACATGTATATCTATACAGAAGATACATATTCTCATTTGCGATCAATTAAATTGAAGGTCATGACCTTGCGAAGCTTCCATTTTTGACATGACGTCACACTTTGATGTCACAATGCAGTTGCGTCATAATGTAAAATAACAACTTTAGCCCCTGAATCCTTATCATATGTATAAATTCTATGGAACATGTATCTAATAGGCATTATGCCTTACACAGTGTCAACTTGAGATTATATTGTATGGTTAACTACATAAATTAAAACAAATAAAGCAATTTTCTATGAACTTACATGCAAATAAATGTGGGAAATGTCATCAAATGCTACTCCTTAAGGGTGCAAAACACAGTTTTATGTATGACGTTATCAGGACGTTACTTGGTGAGGGACAAGCAAAACTGACCCCTATAAAAAAATAAAATGGAGGCTTGTTACATAGACTTCTGCATATCAATGGAAAGATAAAATTGTGAATTTTGTAAATATCCAACTATAATACATTCATCAATTACTACTAGGGGGTATTTGACACCTGAAATATGGGGGATATTGGGTTGTTTATGCATCCATTTTCAGTGCACCTATGCATTTTTAACCCCCCTGCTCAACAAAAACAGAAAAAATCAGACAAAATAAGTTGTATGCATTTCACAGAACAAGTCCTAAGGTTTTCTTTTAGTGTGCTTTCAGGGTACATTTTCCACCTCATGAAAGAGCTACATTACCTGCTAATTGACTCATGCAATTCTGCACATGTGAAAACCGGATGTTTTGGGAGTTATCTCCCCTTATTAAAAAGTCTCATAATTTTTTTTTTCTAAAAATGAATGCACATTTTTTTCTTTAAATATTAAGATAAGATTCTACTTTATGTGAATAAAAACAAAAATGATGCAGTTTTCATCTAGACTCCTATAAATAGCAGGAAAATCCCTACCCAGCATGCTTCTCTCTGGGAAAAACCCCCTGGATTTTATACGAAACTGTGTTTAGCTACCTTAAAGGAAATAATTTTTTTTTGCAATTCACTTTTTTGTATTTAGGTGCAAAGAGGACAGAATTCCAAACATTTTGGTGCATAAATTGTTGAATTTGGTCCAGAAATGGGCAAGTAATTGTAAATTTAGTATTACATGTCTACGACATCGGTCGACGCATAAAACAGGACTTCGAAGAGAAATTCAAACCTAACCGAATCAGCTCACACAATAATTTTATTTTTCTTCAATTTAAAAAACACAAAGTATGAAATATACAGTATTTGAATATCAATAAAATGTTACATTATAAATTTTTTGAAAAGCTGCCAAACAATTTTTACAGATATTGCTAGTTTCTGTATAAACAAGGGGGGGGGGGGGGGGGTCTAATTGGAAATAGTCACTGTCTTAAATCAGAAGATTGCCTCAAAAATCTGGATGGTGTCACCCTAACTAGATACTCAATAGTTCTATGTCACATGTATATCTATACAGAAGATACATATTCTCATTTGCGATCAATTAAATTGAAGGTCATGACCTTGCGAAGCTTCCATTTTTGACATGACGTCACACTTTGATGTCACAATGCAGTTGCGTCATAATGTAAAATAACAACTTTAGCCCCTGAATCCTTATCATATGTATAAATTCTATGGAACATGTATCTAATAGGCATTATGCCTTACACAGTGTCAACTTGAGATTATATTGTATGGTTAACTACATAAATTAAAACAAATAAAGCAATTTTATATGAACTTACATGCAAATAAATGTGGGAAATGTCATCAAATGCTACTCCTTAAGGGTGCAAAACACAGTTTTATGTATGACGTTATCAGGACGTTACTTGGTGAGGGACAAGCAAAACTGACCCCTATAAAAAAATAAAATGGAGGCTTGTTACATAGACTTCTGCATATCAATGGAAAGATAAAATTGTGAATTTTGTAAATATCCAACTATAATACATTCATCAATTACTACTAGGGGGTATTTGACACCTGAAATATGGGGGATATTGGGTTGTTTATGCATCCATTTTCAGTGCACCTATGCATTTTTAACCCCCCTGCTCAACAAAAACAGAAAAAATCAGACAAAATAAGTTGTATGCATTTCACAGAACAAGTCCTAAGGTTTTCTTTTAGTGTGCTTTCAGGGTACATTTTCCACCTCATGAAAGAGCTACATTACCTGCTAATTGACTCATGCAATTCTGCACATGTGAAAACCGGATGTTTTGGGAGTTATCTCCCCCTATTAAAAAGTCTCATAATTTTTTTTTTCTAAAAATGAATGCACATTTTTTTCTTTAAATATTAAGATAAGATTCTACTTTATGTGAATAAAAACAAAAAAGATGCAGTTTTCATCTAGACTCCTATAAATAGCAGGAAAATCCCTACCCAGCATGCTTCTCTCTGGGAAAAACCCCCTGGATTTTATACGAAACTGTGTTTAGCTACCTTAAAGGAAATAATTTTTTTTTGCAATTCACTTTTTTGTATTTAGGTGCAAAGAGGACAGAATTCCAAACATTTTGGTGCATAAATTGTTGAATTTGGTCCAGAAATGGGCAAGTAATTGTAAATTTAGTATTACATGTCTACGACATCGGTCGACGCATAAAACAGGACTTCGAAGAGAAATTCAAACCTAACCGAATCAGCTCACACAATAATTTTATTTTTCTTCAATTTAAAAAACACAAAGTATGAAATATACAGTATTTGAATATCAATAAAATGTTACATTATAAATTTTTTGAAAAGCTGCCAAACAATTTTTACAGATATTGCTAGTTTCTGTATAAACAAGGGGGGGGGGGGGGGGGGTCTAATTGGAAATAGTCACTGTCTTAAATCAGAAGATTGCCTCAAAAATCTGGATGGTGTCACCCTAACTAGATACTCAATAGTTCTATGTCACATGTATATCTATACAGAAGATACATATTCTCATTTGCGATCAATTAAATTGAAGGTCATGACCTTGCGAAGCTTCCATTTTTGACATGACGTCACACTTTGATGTCACAATGCAGTTGCGTCATAATGTAAAATAACAACTTTAGCCCCTGAATCCTTATCATATGTATAAATTCTATGGAACATGTATCTAATAGGCATTATGCCTTACACAGTGTCAACTTGAGATTATATTGTATGGTTAACTACATAAATTAAAACAAATAAAGCAATTTTCTATGAACTTACATGCAAATAAATGTGGGAAATGTCATCAAATGCTACTCCTTAAGGGTGCAAAACACAGTTTTATGTATGACGTTATCAGGACGTTACTTGGTGAGGGACAAGCAAAACTGACCCCTATAAAAAAATAAAATGGAGGCTTGTTACATAGACTTCTGCATATCAATGGAAAGATAAAATTGTGAATTTTGTAAATATCCAACTATAATACATTCATCAATTACTACTAGGGGGTATTTGACACCTGAAATATGGGGGATATTGGGTTGTTTATGCATCCATTTTCAGTGCACCTATGCATTTTTAACCCCCCTGCTCAACAAAAACAGAAAAAATCAGACAAAATAAGTTGTATGCATTTCACAGAACAAGTCCTAAGGTTTTCTTTTAGTGTGCTTTCAGGGTACATTTTCCACCTCATGAAAGAGCTACATTACCTGCTAATTGACTCATGCAATTCTGCACATGTGAAAACCGGATGTTTTGGGAGTTATCTCCCCCTATTAAAAAGTCTCATAATTTTTTTTTTCTAAAAATGAATGCACATTTTTTTCTTTAAATATTAAGATAAGATTCTACTTTATGTGAATAAAAACAAAAAAGATGCAGTTTTCATCTAGACTCCTATAAATAGCAGGAAAATCCCTACCCAGCATGCTTCTCTCTGGGAAAAACCCCCTGGATTTTATACGAAACTGTGTTTAGCTACCTTAAAGGAAATAATTTTTTTTTGCAATTCACTTTTTTGTATTTAGGTGCAAAGAGGACAGAATTCCAAACATTTTGGTGCATAAATTGTTGAATTTGGTCCAGAAATGGGCAAGTAATTGTAAATTTAGTATTACATGTCTACGACATTGGTCGACGCATAAAACAGGACTTCGAAGAGAAATTCAAACCTAACCAAATCAGCTCACACAATAATTTTATTTTTCTTCAATTTAAAAAACACAAAGTATGAAATATACAGTATTTGAATATCAATAAAATGTTACATTATAAATTTTTTGAAAAGCTGCCAAACAATTTTTACAGATATTGCTAGTTTCTGTATAAACAAGGGGGGGGGGGGGGTTATTGGAAATAGTCACTGTCTTAAATCAGAAGATTACCTCAAAAATCTGGACGGTGTCACCCTAACTGGTCTATGTCACATGTATATACAGAAGATACATATTCTCATTTGCGATCAATTAAATTGAAGGTCATGACCTTGCGAAGCTTCCATTTTTGACATGACGTCACACTTTGATGTCACAATGCAGTTGCGTCATAATGTAAAATAACAACTTTAGCCCCTGAATCCTTATCATATGTATAAATTCTATGGAACATGTATCTAATAGGCATTATGCCTTACACAGTGTCAACCTGAGATTATATTGTATGGTTTACTACATAAATTAAAACAAATAAAGCAATTTTCTATGAACTTACATGCAAATAAATGTGGGAAATGTCATCAAATGCTACTCCTTAAGGGTGCAAAACACAGTTTTATGTATGACGTTATCAGGACGTTACTTGGTGAGGGACAAGCAAAACTGACCCCTATAAAAAAATAAAATGGAGGCTTGTTACATAGACTTCTGCATATCAATGGAAAGATAAAATTGTGAATTTTGTAAATATCCAACTATAATACATTCATCAATTACTACTAGGGGGTATTTGACACCTGAAATATGGGGGATATTGGGTTGTTTATGCATCCATTTTCAGTGCACCTATGCATTTTTAACCCCCCTGCTCAACAAAAACAGAAAAAATCAGACAAAATAAGTTGTATGCATTTCACAGAACAAGTCCTAAGGTTTTCTTTTAGTGTGCTTTTAGGGTACATTTTCCACCTCTTGAAAGAGCTACATTACCTGCTAATTGACTCATGCAATTCTGCACATGTGAAAACCGGATGTTTTGGGAGTTATCTCCCCCTATTAAAAAGTCTCATAATTTTTTTTTTCTAAAAATGAATGCACATTTTTTTCTTTAAATATTAAGATAAGATTCTACTTTATGTGAATAAAAACAAAAAAGATGCAGTTTTCATCTAGACTCCTATAAATAGCAGGAAAATCCCTACCCAGCATGCTTCTCTCTGGGAAAAACCCCCTGGATTTTATACGAAACTGTGTTTAGCTACCTTAAAGGAAATAATTTTTTTTTGCAATTCACTTTTTTGTATTTAGGTGCAAAGAGGACAGAATTCCAAACATTTTGGTGCATAAATTGTTGAATTTGGTCCAGAAATGGGCAAGTAATTGTAAATTTAGTATTACATGTCTACGACATTGGTCGACGCATAAAACAGGACTTCGAAGAGAAATTCAAACCTAACCAAATCAGCTCACACAATAATTTTATTTTTCTTCAATTTAAAAAACACAAAGTATGAAATATACAGTTTTACAGATATTGCTAGTTTCTGTATAAACAAGGGGGGGGGGGGGGGGTCTAATGGGAAATAGTCACTGTCTTAAATCAGAAGATTGCCTAAAAAATCTGGACGGTGTCATCCTAACTAGATACTCAATAGTTCTATGTCACATGTATATCTATACAGAAGATACATATTCTCATTTGCGATCAATTAAATTGAAGGTCATGACCTTGCGAAGCTTCCATTTTTGACATGACGTCACACTTTGATGTCACAATGCAGTTGCGTCATAATGTAAAATAACAACTTTAGCCCCTGAATCCTTATCATATGTATAAATTCTATGGAACATGTATCTAATAGGCATTATGCCTTACACAGTGTCAACCTGAGATTATATTGTATGGTTTACTACATAAATTAAAACAAATAAAGCAATTTTCTATGAACTTACATGCAAATAAATGTGCGAAATGTCATCAAATGCTACTCCTTAAGGGTGCAAAACACAACGTTATCAGGACGTTACTTGGTGAGGGACAAGCAAAACTGACCCCTATAAAAAAATAAAATGGAGGCTTGTTACATAGACTTCTGCATATCAATGGAAAGATAAAATTGTGAATTTTGTAAATATCCAACTATAATACATTCATCAATTACTACTATCTTTCCATTGGGGGTATTTGACACCTGAAATATGGGGGATATTGGGTGTTTTGCACCCTTAGCATTTGATGACATTTCCCACATTTATTTGCCTGTAAGTTCATAGAAAATTGCTTTATTTGTTTTAATTTATGTAGTTAACCATACAATATAATCTCAGTTTTGCATGTCCCTCACACTGTGTAAGGCATAATGCCTATTAGATACATGTTCCATAGAATTTATACATATGATAAGGATTCAGGGGCTAAAGTTGTTATTTTACATTATGACGCAACTGCATTGTGACATCAAAGTGTGACGTCATGTCAAAAATGGAAGCTTCGCAAGGTCATGACCTTCAATTTAATTGATCGCAAATGAGAATATGTATCTTCTGTATAGATATACATGTGACATAGACCTATTGAGTATCTAGTTAGGGTGACACCATCCAGATTTTTTAGGCAATCTTCTGATTTAAGACAGTGACTATTTCCAATTAGCCCCCCCCCCCCGCCCTGTTTTATACAGAAACTAGCAATATCTGTAAAAATTGTTTGGCAGCTTTTCAAAAAATTTATAATGTAACATTTTATTGATATTCAAATACTGTATATTTCATACTTTGTGTTTTTTAAATTGAAGAAAAATAAAATTATTGTGTGAGCTGATTCGGTTAGGTTTGAATTTCTCTTCGAAGTCCTGTTTTATGCGTCGACTAATGTCGTAGACATGTAATACTAAATTTACAATTACTTGCCCATTTCTGGACCAAATTCAACAATTTATGCACCAAAATGTTTGGAATTCTGTCCTCTTTGCACCTAAATACAAAAAAGTGAATTGCAAAAAAATTTTATTTCCTTTAAGGTAGCTAAACACAGTTTCGTATAAAATCCAGGGGGTTTTTCCCAGAGAGAAGCATGCTGGGTAGGGATTTTCCTGCTATTTATAGGAGTCTAGATGAAAACTGCATCTTTTTTGTTTTTATTCGCATAAAGTAGAGTCTTATCTTAATATTTAAAGAAAAAAAATGTGCATTCATTTTTAGAAAAAAAAATTGTGAGACTTTTTAATAGGGGGAGATAACTCCCAAAACATCCAGTTTTCACATGTGCAGAATTGCATGAGTCAATTAGCAGGTAATGTAGCTCTTTCAAGAGGTGGAAAATGTACCCTAAAAGCACACTAAAAGAAAACCTTAGGACTTGTTCTGTGAAATGCATACAACTTATTTTGTCTGATTTTTTCTGTTTTTGTTGAGCAGGGGGGTTAAAAATGCATAGGTGCACTGAAAATGGATGCATAAACAACCCAATATCCCCCATATTTCAGGTGTCAAATACCCCCTAGTAGTAATTGATGAATGTATTATAGTTGGATATTTACAAAATTCACAATTTTATCTTTCCATTGATATGCAGAAGTCTATGTAACAAGCCTCCATTTTATTTTTTTATAGGGGTCAGTTTTGCTTGTCCCTCACCAAGTAACGTCCTGATAACGTCATACATAAAACTGTGTTTTGCACCCTTAAGGAGTAGCATTTGATGACATTTCCCACATTTATTTGCATGTAAGTTCATAGAAAATTGCTTTATTTGTTTTAATTTATGTAGTAAACCATACAATATAATCTCAGGTTGACACTGTGTAAGGCATAATGCCTATTAGATACATGTTCCATAGAATTTATACATATGATAAGGATTCAGGGGCTAAAGTTGTTATTTTACATTATGACGCAACTGCATTGTGACATCAAAGTGTGACGTCATGTCAAAAATGGAAGCTTCGCAAGGTCATGACCTTCATAAATTTTTTGTCAAAATTTTCGTTTTTTGGGGGGGGTTTTTAGGGAAAAAAGGATGCTAAAAAATTCCCCTATTTAGGGTAAAAACCCCCCTTTGTTAATTATAAATGTTTATTTATATTAAAAAAGCTTTTTATTTTTAAATAAATTTTTTAAAAGGGGTTTTTTTTTTGGGGTTTTTTTGTTCAATAATAATTGTACTAAAATGGTTTTGCCCCTTTTAAGGATAAAAAACCCCCCTTTTTTTGTAATTCATAAAAATTTTTTTATTTTTTTTTTAGGGGGTTTAAAAAACAATTAACTATTGTTTAAAACAAACCCCCTTTAATCATTTTCCCAAAAAATTTATAGAAAAGTTTGGTAAAGTTTTTTTAATTATAAACTTTATTGTACAAAAAATTCCCCTTTAAAAATAAATTAAAGGTATTGTTTAAAAAGGAAAAAAATGTTTTTTTTAGAAAATTTGGTTTTTTTGTTTATTTTGGGAAATTTTGTTTTAAATTATTAAAACATTTTTTTTTTAATTAAAACCCCCCCCCTTTTTAATCAGCTAGAATTTTAAAAAAATTTTTTGGGCATTTTAAAAATTTAATTTAAATTTTTTTATTGTATTAAAAATTGTATTTTCAATTTTTTTTAAATTAAGAAAAAAAAAAATTTTTTGTGATGAGTTGTTTTTGTTTTTTAAAAATGGACATGAATTTTTAAAAAATTTAAAATTACCCCATTTTGGCCAAATTTTTTTTAAAACCCAAAATTTTTAATTCCCCCAAAAAAAAATGAATTAAAAAAAAAATTTTTTTTTAAATAAACAAATTTTTGGGATAAAAAAAATTTTTTTTGAAATTAAATTTTTGGGGGGAAATGGTTTTTTTTTTTTTTTCAAAAAAGTGAATTTTATTTTAATTTTTTTAAAAAAAAAATTTATTTTAAAAAAAAATTAAATTTTTTAAAAAATTTTAAAACTCCTTTTCCTTAAAAAAATAATCAAAAAAAATTTCCAAGGTGGAAAAGCCCCCAAAAACAAAAAGAAAACCTTGGATTTTCTTGAAATATAAATTTTTTTCTGATTTTTTGTTTTTTTTAAAAAAAAAGGGTTTAAAATAATTAAAAAAATTTCCCTATTTGGGAAAAATTTTGAATTTAATTTTTAAGGGATTTTTAAAAATTTCCTTTTTTTTATTGATATAAAAGATTTAAAAGCCCCCTTTTTTTTTAAAGGGGATTTTGGCCCTAAAAAAAATTTTCGAAAATCATAAAACTTTTTTGCATTTTGGGTCAGTTAAAAACCCAAATTTTATTTGCATGAAGTTCATAAAAACTTTATTTTTTTTTATTAAAAAACCCCAAAAATAATTAGTTAAATTTTAACAAATTTTTTCATGTTCCAAGTTTTAACTTTTAAAAAATTAGGGGAAAAAGTTTTTTTTCAAAAAGAATTTTTGAAAAGGTCAAAAAAAAAAAATTTGCAAGGGATGATTAATTTAATTTTTTGGAAATA